TCACGTAAAAAGCTTCGAACGAGATAATTCAATCTGGCTAACATAACCCATAAGTTTAAATCAACGGTTGGCGAAGCCGTCTATAATTTAAGAGAAATTGACAAAATTGGATAAAAAGATTTAGGGCACCAGTAAACTTGAGCTATTTATTCCCAGAGAATGTTTTATTTATGTGCCGAAGCCGAGAAAATACATCCAGTTTTTCCTCCCGGGGAAAGTTTGTTAATGGTAATCCTAGCGCGGAAAGTGCCCTTTCGAATGGAAGTCTTAATTTAGTACCAGCCAAGTAACATATATTTTCTGCTTTTGTTGGAGAGAATATACAATTCGACGGCTGAGGGCGAGACTGTCGAAAACTATTTTTTTCTGCTCGTTGGAAAGAAAAAGAATTTAATTCAACACACAATAGAGTCGAAAGGATACAAATAAGTACCTGAATTGACTTCAAGCGATGGACAACAACACGTGCGACCCCAAGATAAGGCTAAAATTGTTTTGATCCTTCCTAGCACAAAAATCGGTGTAATTTCAACTTGTGTACTAGATAGTTGCTAGACCGTTTGACGCCTACTCACTGGGAGCGCCATCTATGGCGGAACCGATGAATGACCATGTTGTTTAAGATGCTGCGGATGATGCTGCTAAACGCATTCGCCAAAATTTCATAACGTATTATCTTTGTTTATATCAAATGTTCACCAAAAGATTACAGAAATCCTAAAATTCTTGTTGTCTGTTATCAGATAACCTTAGGGAATATGACCAGATAACTGGCTCAATCAAAAACTTAGGGTTGCTCAAAATTAATAGCTTGTTCAAATATTTAATTTGGCATTAGTAAAATTTATTATAACCGCTCATTCACCACTATGTTTATGGAACCAGCTAACATTTAGGTATTCGAACACACTATCCATACCAAGACATCGCAGAGCCATGCTTCAGCGCTTTTTCTAATGAATATAACGCTGCTAAATATAATAATGCATTAGACATCAATATTAAGAACAGAGCAAATCATCATAAATTTGAGTCACTTATGCAAACTACCATCGTATGGCCTCCCAGAAAAGATTTGCAGATGGGTGGCTGACTTTCCCTCTTGTCGCAAGATATCCGTCGTAATTGATGGGTTCTCCTCTTTACCCCACAGCGTCAACGCGGGTGTTCTCCAGGGATCGTTCTTGACTCCGACACTGTTCCTCTTACATATCAACGACCTCCTTTCCTGTACGATCAACACAATCCACAGCTTTGCTGATGACAGCACTCTACATGCAAGATGTTCAGAGTGACAAGCCGATATCTGCCGCTGAGTTGGAAAAAAGAAGACTAGCGATGACTTCGTCTCTGATGAGAGCCCTGGAGGTTATCACTGCTTGTCGACGCAACAATCTTGTACAGTTTAATGCTTCAAAATTACAGTACCTTGACGAACAAAAAGCGTCCTAGCGCTCATCGTGTTCCGATGGATGGCCGAGTTCTGCCAAAGAGCTACAATATTTATGCTCGATGCTTTAAAGCCGGTCCCAGACACGAAGCTTCGTACTTCGGCGAAGCACATATTTCAGGTTCGCGTTGACTTCCCATTTTCCCATTTCGGGATATAACAAATGTTCAGCAAAGCCTCGATTGTAGTTTTAGAATATACATAGGCGCGTATGAGCATAAGTATGTGCTGGTCTTGGTTAACAGAAAAAAGTTTAAACGTGGAAAAGGAAGATGGTGATCTTCAAATAAAAGTCGTCAAAGGTACGTAAAGTTAAAATGTTTGTTCTATTTTCTAGCTTTAAAAAAAAAAGATTGCTTTTAGCAACTATTTTCAACTCCTATTTTTGTAGTATTATAATCGCGAAAAATTTAGAAATTTTGATATAATGTTTTTTGATGTTTCATGACGTACATCACGAAAAACAATATCACTCATTTCCGGCAGTCTGTCTGTCTGTTGTCTGTCTGTCTGTCTGGTAACCTTGGCCGCTCTATTACTCGGAAAGTACTATTCGAAAGTTGATAAAATTTTGACCGCAGCTTAGTACTATAGCAGTTTTATGGTTCTGCAGTTGCGGCTGTTATCGTCAAAAAGCGAAAAAAAAATGAAAAGCGCCCAAACTCTGTTGTTAGATGTTTTCGGGGCTCCTGAGCACCTTCCAACAATTTTTTGTAGGGGCATATAATCGGAGGTGAGAGAAGCTTGGAGAAAGGGGTATCTCTTATTTTTTGTCCGTGACGCCGCTCATCAAAGCGCGGGAAGTATAAACTTAACCTACTTGACGCAATTTTTCTTAAAGTAGGTTTTACTCATCTTTTTAAGGTACGAAGAGCTGTGAGAATAAACAGTGCATTGAAAATTTTTTCAAAAATTCATTGACTAGATCGTTCTTCCACTAAAGCACAAATTGGTACTGCACTGATCAGACAAAATATAACGACGAAGCAGCGAAGTTAGAGCGAAGCGTCTGGGTGCTGCCACCGAACGCAATTCGCCGAGCTTCGCATCCTTTGCTTCGGACCATTTTACCGCCAGTAGCGTACGACATATGTCGTTTCTGTGGCTTTGCGGTGGTCAACAGCACAGACAGAGATGGAAATAATGGCTGATTGTTCTCCGCCGGTAGAACCAATGAAATCAAAGATGCGCCTCGACCGGCAGACTCATAGGCGTCGGCAACGCATTGGAACGTGTTTCGTTGAGCGATCGCATATTGTGTGTTTTTATAAGAATTGTTGTGTGATTGTTATTGTTGTGGTTTCTGTGGTTACTGTTTTGGTTATACTTAACCATGGAGAGTACAAATGGCACGAGTGGAAGTACTGAAAGCCAGGGAACAAGTAGACGGCTTCGTAAAGCACTGAAGAGGGACGCGAAAGAAATCGTGCTCAACGTGTTCAATTATCTGAACAGAACTATGTCGCAGGGAGATGCACTCGCGCTTTGTGAAAGTATGACAGGCGTTCCAGAGTGGACCATTCGCAGGGTGGTGCATGAAAAGAAGAAAACTGGAGCTACTACTGATCCAAAGTTTAATTTGAAGGGACGAAAGGCCGTTAAATTGGATGACGATAGACAAAAACGTAGTGAGTGACCGACAAGCAAGCATTGAAGGTTTGTCAACAGGTCTTCGTGGACCGTCAGGGAAAGGTCAAAGATTGATCGTAACTCATATTGGTAGCGATGGTGGCTTTTTAGAAGAGTGTGACTTGATTTTCGTCTCTAAGAAAGGAGGTGATTACCATGACGAAATGAATGCCAGCTGCTTCCAGAGCTGGTTTCAAGGGGTGCTTCAGCGAGTTGAGCCCAACTCTGTGATCGTCATGGATAATGCTTCCTACCATAGTCGTCGAGCCGAACGTGTACCGACTATGGGATCTCGAAGAAGTGACATGCAGCAATGGTTGCGCGAAAAAGGAATCCCGTTTGACGATTCATGTGTGAAAGCGGAATTGTATGAAAAAATTAAACAGCACAAACCTGCGAACATTAGTTACGTGACTGATGAGATGGCCCGTCAATGTGGTGTCACTGTGCTGCGGTTACCGCCCTACCACTGTGAACTGAACCCAATAGAGCTCATCTGGGCTCAAGTGAAGGGTTATATTGCGCGCCATACAAATTACCAGACGTTAAGATTTTACTTGAGACTTCCATACAGCTAGTAACGCCCGAAGCTTGGCAGAATGCTATCCGTCATGTTGTGAAGGAAGAAACAAAAATGTCACATCGACACCATCATAGAGCCAGTTATAGTCAATTTCAACGAGGAAAGGGATAGCGACAGTTTATTACTGTCAGATGTAAGTGGAAGCGACGATGAATAAAGGTAATTCCCAAATTTTTGACTTACAATATGTTTCAAACCACTCTTTATTAAGCATGTGACAAATCTAGTTCACCCATGTTAAACATTCATACCCCGCCTATGAACAGCCGACTACTGGTAGTTAAGTGATGTTCACGTGAACATCGATGAGTCATTACAGTTTTAGATAGTTATAGTATACCACGAAGTGCGAAGGCGGGGCGAAGCCACTCTCCCACACGCTCCACGAAGTTAGGCGAATACGGAATGTTCGGCGAAGCTCGCAGTGTCTGTGACCGGCTTAACAGACAGTCTCGGAACCCTTTCGCACCGGTGCGCCGTCGGCCATCTAGCTATCTCCTATCGCTACACCAACGGGCTTTGCTCCTCAGAGCTCTCTTCCATGATGCCGCCGCGCGATGTGCCTGCCAGACAGACCCGCCTGACTTTGGCCTCCCATCCTAACCGTGTCGAACTTCGTACATCCAGAACTGGCCGATACGGCCGCTCCTTTGTCCCGAGGGTGTCGGGTTTGTGGACCAATCTATTAGAAGAAGCTTCTCCCAGCGCTACTAACATGAGGCAGTTCAAAAATCGGATTTCCAAAATTTCTTTGGCTCATAGTAGCCGCGGAGTCCCGGCATTTAGGCTTCCGCCTGTGCGGCTGCTTCGGTATAAAATAAAGATGACACTGACTGATGCTAAATGTTCTTGCTGGTATCGATTAGTATTATTTTTCCGTGCATTCAATTATTACTATTTTCAAGTCGAATTTTATTATAAACTCAAATGGTTTCATAATGATTGAAGATTTGTATAAGCTTTATTATACAAAACTTATAAAATCTAAAAATTAAGAAAAAATGGGGATGTCCATATAAAAATCTAAAGTATAACGCAATATCTTATTTTTGGATCACCCTGCATTTTACGGCTATAGATGAAAAGGCGTCCCCCTGTCATTGAGGTGCCCGATCGTTTTTCCCAAAATATACAAAAAGAGTCACAACTGGGGGTGCGACCTTTTCATTGGGCCACCCTGTATATTGTCTACATGTATCTTCCACCTACAGCTTTTCGACAGATACGTACCTAGAAATTTTGCTGAAATTCGTTCCTATCGAGACACAGGAAGCCGCGGTTGACCAAGCGATTTCATAAAAAGAATCATATAAAGAAACATCATTCAACTATACTGACCTCCCATGATATCTCTGATCCCTAGAACAGACGACGGCCTTGGTCTGGGCCTTTCTTCCTCGAGGATCACATCCTTTTCCCTCTTGTAGAGATGGAATATGTTAGCGACACAAGACAGCCTCGCCTTGCCATTGTGGAAGGTTTCAGTATCTACTTCTAGCTCCAGCCTCGAAAACGTAACCAATGGCGTGCGACGCACACTTACGCTGGGTACTGCGTTGTGAGTTTCGCTTGGGGGGAGGAATTTTTGCGATCGCTCTGGTATCTGAAATGGAAATTGTACGGTATTCATCCACTATCTCTACAACTTAGTTTCTTACATTCTTATAATTTAAAAAAAATAAACTTAATGTTTCTGGAAGTACGGATAGCCGAGGAGCTTAAAAGTAAAATGAATAAGAACTGAACATTAACAGTGAACATATAAAGCTTAACACTTTTTCAGGATCGAGGTAAAACCCGAAACATAGAAAAGTGGATTATAAAGTTTTTATCGAAACAAAGATCTTTTTATAAAGTTGCAGCCGCGTAAGTATAAACCGCGGCACTTCGACTGTCGCCTTAATAATCGGACTATTAGGCCCTTTGATGGCTTTGTCCCAAACTTTAGTGCTAGTACCGTACCAGAACCGTTCGATATTCGTACCCTGTTACACGCATGCGCGGCTTGTCGGGGTTCTAGGATCGTTTCTGGACTGTAAAAGGTGTTGGAACGGATTCGGAATCGTTTTGTACCTAGAAATTGATAGGATAGCCAATGTTGCCTGATCTACCAATTTTTCGGCCTAGCTGTGAGGAGCTTTGGATTTTCTATTTAATTCGCTTATGCAGCGACAATGTTGTTTACAGTCAAATCGTAACGTTAAATTAATAGACGGTAGTTTGGAATTAAAATAAAAATTAAATATTTTGGTTGTAACGTTTGATCAAAATTTGAGATTCATTCCACCTGCAACAGCATTATTCAAAGATCATGTTCAAAATGTTCTATGCGAATAAACATGTATTAAGTGCTAACGTTAAAAGAGCTTCATGTGGATCATTGGTTTTGTATCTGTGGTACATTACTCTGATATCTGACATTACAGTTGCCTGGACAGTGATAAAGATGCATTTGTAAAATTTCTAAATCGCTGATGTAGATTTGTTTATGGATTAAAAAATATGATCATATATCAGCAACGATGAAATAAAATCCGAAAACAATTCAAAATCGATGTCCCCTTCGTCGTCACTACACATCGCGATAAAAATGTCGAATCATTATCTTTTTTCTGTAAACACAGCACACACGTTCAATCGTTATCCAAGCAAGGAGGTTTGGAGGTTAGGGTTAGAAGAAATCACCTGACAGTAGCTCTTCCGCGCATGTCAGTTCCTTTAGTTCTCGCTTCAGTGCAGGTACCGATATCAACGTAACAAAACCGTCCCAAATCGATCCCAAAACGGGTTGGAACACAATGCAGAACCAATCTGTTACTGTGACGGACAACGTTGGAACATTTTTTTTAAATGCGCAAGCGCGTCACCGTTCCGGCACGATTCTACGACGGGTTGGGACAAAGCTAAGGTTAGTAAAACTGCGAAAACCCTCCCCAGGCACAACCCCGACACCCAAAGGGCACAAGAGCGGTCGTACCGACCGGTTTTGATGTACCAAGTTAGACAGAGACAGAAGCCTAGCGGCACGTGTATTATGTAAAAAACCTATAAAACGTCAAAGAAACCTATAAGATGCCATCTTGTGCACTAGGTAGTCTCTAGGGCGCAAACAGTAATTCCACGTTTGCTCACTAGGATCGTTGTGCATGTCCATCTATGGAGGAATCACTCAACTAAACTACACGCATTGTTGGCTGCATATGTTTAGTGAGTTTTTATCTCTGAGAAGAAACTTGGTTGAATAGCAAGACCGCATCTGGATGATTATGTGTATTGATCTTCATTTGTATAAAGTCAGTGATATTTGCTGCGTGAGAAAATCATTCCTGAATATGCTGCCAATGAAGTTTAGCGATGCCCGACAGGTTATTTATATGTTGTCCTTTCTGAAGGCAGTTTATGTTCAAAGTTATAAATTACGAAAAACTTTGAGGAGAATTACGGGAGATCATCACCGCGTCCGCGTGGTGTGTAGTTGCTACTAGCATGTATATGGCTTGTAATTCGACAGTGTTCAGTGAATATTATTTTATATTACATTATATTTCTTATCTCTCTCATTTTTGAAATTCAGGAAATTTGCTTATGTAGCTTCCAGAATGGATAAGAAAAAGAGTTTCTAGCTTTGAATCTCAAGTAAGTGTATTTGAGACAAGAATCCAACACATTTATAATCAACACATATTTTCAGCACACAAATTCTCACTATGCATCTATGCATTGCAGGTACCTACAGTAATGTCATCTCTGAAGCAATTTTTACATCACATCAGAGCCAAACATTGATAACTGAAGCCTCATGACTTTTAGGCAACACGTACAACTACAAAGCGAGTTCACAACGTTTCCATCAGCTACGGCTAAGTTAACATCTTGTAGAGAAACCTGCATACCGACACAAAAAAACAATATAATGTAAAAAAATCGACGTATTGTCACTTTTCAAGATACGTAATACTCGTGCGGGACTATAGAGATATACAGGGTGAAGGGGGGGACGTCACATAGACTCTAGCGGGGGAACACGTGTGCATGTGACATGCAGGCATTATAGATCATGCGAACTAGCAGATAATAGTTAAAAACTAAAAAAAATCTACTCCTATTCCATGGTCTTGAACTCATGTCGGTTTGTTAGATACCAAACCAGCCTGCCACCTAACAATCTCTGCAATGCCACCTGATACATGTCATTCACGAAATGTCACTACTTCATATTCACATATACACATAGTATTTATTTATTACAGCTATAGTTTTGAAATTATGGGTGACGGCTGCAGTGTTTGATCAATTGCATTTTAACGTATTTATTTTTACTTTTCCGTCCATATCTAAAACTCAGTTTTCTACTATTACAAATCGGTCGTCTTAGACTCAGTCAATCTTATATTTCAAAAATATACGTACATTACACCGTAAATATTGAATTAGAAACCCTAAAAACGATAACTTACAAGAAAAGCACACATATCCCTGACAAGCGATTTGGACTCACTACGGTGCAGAAGTTCCATACATCTGTAAGGCTTGTGTAGTCACATAAAATTATACACGTATCGTAGAATAAACAGATTCATAGATTCTGAATCATCCTTATGCTTAATTTCGACTCTCAATGCGGATGATTAACGGTACAGTGATTTTTTTCGGAAATGATGTTATTTTGGACTCCAAAGGCCCAAATGAAGTATTTTTTCACCAAAATATGTCTTTTCTATCAGCTTTTCAAAGTTGAGAATTTTCTCTAGCAACTAAATGAGCCCAATAGAAGCCCATTTGATTCAAAAAACATGGCTGGACAGCTCGTCAAAGATCAGTTTTCTCAAAAAAATTTGTAACGATTAAAACTGTACGGAAACTATCAAAAACTAGATTTTTTTTGAATGGAGTTATTACTCCAGACTTGATGTTATACACTTTTTGGTAAAAAATTAGTTTATGAATCAACGGTTTTTGTTCGTTTTCTTTCAATAATAACCACTGCAGCAAATTTAACTTGTGATAGTCCATTTTGAAGGTCTTTTCATTGCCTCAGGAATACAATTTCTTTGTGAAACGACTTACTACATTTTTACTAAAATTCCTGGTACATTAAGGCCCACCTTAGAGATCCACCGGGTGGCACCTCCTCACTCGACGATCTGAGATCGTCTACCACCTAGGAACAATCACAACGTCCATAGCCAAGAGAAAAATTGTCCTGGGAAGAGATTCGAACCCGCGCACTCTTTCTGGATTTCCTGAATAGAAACTAAGAATTCCTGAACCCCCTCTCCATCTCGAATTCCAAGTAGGCCATTGGAAGCGTCCCATCTTTTTACGCGTGCTCCGCCCTATGGCATGGGTGGCAAAGTACAATTACGAGTAGATGCTCAACATTCCAGAGTTCTTGGTAACAAGAAACTGTCTCCAAGCCTTAATCCAAATGTAGTGCGAACTAACTAGACGTCGGTTCTATAATTATTGAAATAGGAAAGGCTCCACAATGTCAGTTGTTTTCCAGTTAATTCTGACCATTACAGCTTATCACACAGCGTAACCCGAAAGTTCTGCGGCCGAAGCCCGCAGTTCCCGAGGCAACTTTCCGCATAAATAACACTTCTGGTAATATCGGACTGCCCGACCGAGCTGGCGGCCCAGGCTCCAGCGCCGATATTAATACTGCGAAAAGGAACATTTAACATTTTACACCGGGGATACTCAATTGATTCTCCATTAAGGAAATTGCTACCCGGCTCTTATGGTAAGCTGCCTCTACAAGGTGCGTTGGAAAGATTCACCAGACTCTAAAGCTTGAAGCGGTATGTTTCTAGTAGTAGTAGTTTCTCTTAGAAAAAAGTTGAATACAAAAATGTATAAAAAAGTCATGTCAGTCAAACAGGATCGTACAATTAGTCTACAGGATATACAGGTTGTATTTGATTTACCTCCATGCAAAAATGCTTCCTGTGTCCGTTAGAGAACGTCAAAGTTTTCTTTTTGAAACAAATTTTTTCATATACTTTTGGACCCGATAGTCTGATTTGAATGAAATTTGAATTTTACAAAAAAAAACATACCTACATAAATTATAGCAAAATTTTTTGGTCTCTTCCCCGACGACATTTCATTTAGCAGATCTTTTTATTTATTTCATGTTTTGTCTCCTATAAAAACAGGCCAGTTACATCAAGAGGCTCTCAAGCATCTTACTATGATATTACTTATCACAAACAATTATATTTAATACAGGCAATAGTGCGAATGTTTCAAGTAAGATGTTCAATATGATCACCATTTTCGTTCCTGAACATAAAATTACGCTGCAAAAAAACTATAGTTAACTTTCTCTAAAGTGTCATTGTTTGTACCATTCTGAATCCTGCCTCCAACTTGACGTATTATAAAACTTTTTTAGAAGCACGCTCTGAAAAACATTTTTTTCTCAAAAACTATGAGGGATGACCTGTTTGAATAAGAGACAAAACATGAGGAATAAAAGCGTCTTTTAAATGAACCATTCGATGTCGCTTGCGTAAAAATTCTGTTGGGGTGGGGATTTTTTGGTTCCAAAAGATATCTAAAGATATCTGAAAACATGTGTTTTAAAAAGAAAACTTTCGACTCCCTCTAACAGACATAAGAAGC